CCATAAAAAAGAAGGAAATCCTGCCATTTGTGACAATATGGATGAGACTGGAAGACATTAGGCCAAGTGAAATAAGCCAGATACAGGAAAGCAAGCACTGGAATAATCTCATTTATATGTGGAATCTAAAAATTCAAATTCATAGAAACAGAGTGGAATAGTGGTTAGTAGGGGCTGGATGTTGGGGGACATCAGGATATGTTGACCAAAAAATATAAAGTTTCAGTTCTAACATAAGGTCAGGGTTGTAAAATACAGCATTGGTGGTGATGGATGTGTTAATTAATTCAGTTAATTGTAGCAACCACTACACAATATGTATACAAATTAAATCATCATGTTACACACCTTTATATATGGTATTTGGCAATTGGATATATATTTTTAAAGCATACTACATTGCTTAGTTTTATGTAGCATTTATTCATCATATTTACATGGATCTACCCAAATGCATACCATGATATTTTAGGAAGAAGAAAAAAAGTACATGCTTGATAAGTGAAATAAAACTAAAGTGAAAATTCAGTAAATAATATCTTAAACTGAAGTAAAATATGCAGATACTTTTTAAACTCATGGAGAAAGATACCAAAGGAATCTGCTTGAGACATTTCAAACTGAACAGGAGGAAATATGTGAGAATGTGAATTAATGCGCAATGCTGGTCTGATAAAGTCTGGATAGATTATCTAAGTTTTCTCTGCATGTATAATTGGTCAAAAAGAAAAAGAAGAAGAAGCCACTTTACAGTAAGGTAGCAATCCAAATAATCAATCTAAGTAAGTTTTACTGCAGCCAAACTTGGCCTCCTTATTGGGTTCATAAAACTCATAGCTAGAAGCTCTTTGTAAATGGAATATAGCACTCCTTGTTTAACATGCCCAAATGAAAGTCCTTTTTGTCAAACTCAAAATAGCAACTCATATGACACAGTATTTTTGTCACATTTCACACCACGGGTATGTTTTTACAAAAGTTCAGGCTCTCATTTGTCATTTAGATATTCAACATGTGAGTCAGTGGTCATGTATGTCCCATAAATGTATAATCACATGTGGGTCACAATAAGAAATAGTGTGTCTGCTGAGGCATGTGATAATCACCCTCGGCGCAGTGCAGACATCACTAATATAAGTACAAGATCGATAAGTACTAAACCTTCTTTTCTTTTTTTCCCTCATTTTAAAAGCTTCATCAACATCCTCAAAGCATGTTTTCCTCCAATATTCATCAAACATATCCCTCATCTTCCATAAGAGTTATCCTCCACACGTTTTCTTCTCTTAGCTTCCTACTCTCATTTAAGTGCTATCCTCCACTCCAATACTCCAATCCCATGCCTAACCTAGAATTGCATCCTTGACTGGACTTTCTCTCTACACCTATAACCAGTTTATTTTTACTTCTCTGATTCCCTTTAGGCTTTTTTATTCTTGCATTCACTTTTCTAAAAGCCAACTCACTTCCTTTGAGCTCTATAGCTTGCTGGAGATTTAGGCCTGTAGAGGATTGAGGCTACAGGGTGTGGGAGTGCTGAGAGCCTTGTGATGGAGGAAATACATTCAAAATTTAGGTGAAGTCTTTAGGAGACTAGGAGGCAAAGGAATAAAAGTAAAAGAGAGTAAAAGTCAAGTTGTAACTGTCAAACGAAAGGGAAAAAGTTAAAATATTTATTGATACCCATTGTGTTGACTTTACAATGGGCTTTTATATCTACCTAAGATGGCGTTTTCCTTTTTTTTTTTAACTTTTATTAAGAATGTTAAGTTGATGACCTCTATATTAATTGGTCATGTAATTTCTACTTGTAAGGAAAGTTTTTGACCTTGCAAGAATTAGAACTATACCATCTGAGTTTATTTTGTCCTCTAGAAGGGAAAAGAACACATTATCACAACAGACCTCTCGAGTCTCATTTTCAAACTAATGCATTCCAAAATGCATTCAATTTCTAACAAAGAGCAAAGGATAAACAATTAAACATTACATGTAACAGAACTCTTACCCACCTGCCAACAATTAAACCCAGTAATTAAAAACTGTAGGAGAATTCACATAAGCATATCTTCAGCAACAGTCATACCACGGTCAAAGAGGGGAAAAAAATCTTTCCTAATAAGTTCCTTTTCCATTTCCCAGGCTGCTTTTCTTGACATTAAACAGACACAAGACTTTGTCAACTGTTTCACTTTCTTTAGAAAGAGGGAAATCCCATTCTGTGTCCCCGGGGAGGGCTATTATATACAGATGAATGTATTTTGTTATTTAGTTTAATAAACGTAGTGTTTAGAACAGATGTTAAGGCTTGAAATTGTCCAGAGAAAGGAACAGCTCAGGTGGCAATAATGCAGGCTTCCCGCCTGCTGTGCTTTCTTCTTTGTCTTTGGAAGAGCTACTTTCACAGGTGAGAAGGTATTACAGTATTTATAACCACTCACATCCCCACCACTGGACTGAAGCTGACAAACGGGGTGCTAATTAGTACCAGGAGTAGTGGTGGTGATGGTGGTTTTATGACACAGACATCTGGCCAGTAAATTGGACTAAGAGAAACAACACATTTACAGAAGCACAATTCCAGCCATGCATGGTGTAAAGGGTAAATGTGAGGCCTGTTTTTAAAAGGTAGATTTCTTGAACACCAGAATATTTGGACTTTCCAAGGCTATGCTCTTCTGTGGATGTTCTCATGCACTAGCTACTTATGTCACCAATGAGCCGGAATAATTTTTTTAAACTACACCTGTGAATAAGGGTATGCTTCCAAGAGAGGCAAGATCTTATTTTGAGTGAATGTATGTTTTCTGTGAATGACAGTTTATAAAATAACAAATCTCAGTTTAAATGACAGTCAGAATATTGTTCTGCAAGCTAGGAGGCAATAAAACAGTCAATCCAATCAAATAATAATTTTTGAGTATTTATCAATAATAAAATTCATTACATACACATTATTGTATAAATTGTATAACGCTTCATTTAGTTTAACTAAAATCTACAATTCATAAATGTGGTCAGTACATTTACATTGTCTTCATTGATTTGTGTCTATAGTTGCGGTAATAAAAAGAAAGCATAATATAATGGGGAAAAAGGGTATTTGTTGTTAGGAAAATTGCAGTTAAGCCCCAGGAGCATAGTAGTATTGTTAAGAACAGGATTTTCAATTCCAATGGATTGGGTGCTAAACCTAGCCACTTACCATGCCACCTATTGTCTGGTGTTCAGCAACGCAAATGCCCTGAACCTTCGTTTCCTCATTATATACTCATTGTAGGTATTGACAATACCTACTTTATTGTGTTGCTGAGTGGATTAAATGAGATGATACGTATACACGAAGTAGCAGAATTTCTGATATGTTACAATTACTCATTAAATGGTAGATATTATTAATAATATTAACTATAGTAAGAAAGTCACAACTTTTCTCCATTTCTTTAATCATTCAAGTACAAAGTTTCAAGTTTATCACTAAATGTTTGAGGATTAAATGTGCTATAAACATGATAAAATATGCAAAATCACTTAAAAATTAGTAAAAGCTTCATAAATACCGCTAGAAAGCATGTGTCTTATTTTCTGTTGAAAAACTAGTTTTAATAAAGGCAGGCTTTCCAAAAATATTTTTTGTTGCCAGCATCATTCACTTTGCACACATTCAATTCTTCCAAACCATCTTTCACAAAATGTAAGATGTTTTTCCAGAGTAACATACATGTAGCCTGGAACCAGAAAATATAAGTGCAAAGTGGCTAATTTTATTGTGAGGAGCAGAATGGTGATGGTTTTAAAGAATTTGTCCAGTTTGTAAAAACAAACCAATTAACATTTCAAGTTCAAGGCTTAAAACCACATCTCATAGAGGTGCTATAATGTGATATACCAAAGGAAACAGAGTGGAGAATTCAATTCTCAGTGCATATATTTTTTCATTCTCTTTTTAAAAAGTACTAGATGGTCACAACAAATACACACACAGACACAGACACACACATATCTGCTATAATAAGACATGCCCCACATCATTTCTATCAGGCCAAAAGAAATAAAGGGTGAAAATGGGGCAGATTTGGGGAATTTATTCATTCAGTAGATATTAACCTCATAACTGCCCCAAGGAAGTTTCAGTATAGTGTAAGATTAATGTGACACATTATATTCTGAGATTTTAAAGTTTGAAATTAGCAAATGACCTGTGTAAGATTATAGAATCCAGTAAATTATAAACAAAAAGTTTATCACAAAAATCCAATCACATACAACCTTACGTTTGAATCATAAGTCAATAAATTCTACAAAATCATACATGAAGTGGGGAAAAACGACCTTGAAATGTTCATCAGTTTGTCGAAAGGTAAAAAGTAAAAGTAAAAATAAAATGCAGCTCAGAATTGGTTTCTTAGATTTCCTCAAAGAAGAGAACTTTTTCCAGAAATTTTTCTAACCCAAGTTATAAGAACAGAGAGGCTCCCTGTTACAGCTCTCTTATTTCCTTTAACGTGAGCTTTGGAGCTCTGTGAGAAATCTCTACCATGACAGAGCTTGTTTAGTGTGTACCAGATATTGCATTAATTTCTAATCTATACTTTTAGAAAAAAAAAATTGCAAAGTGACTGCTGGTATTTTTCTCAATTAAAACTTCAGCATATGTGATGATTCTTAAACCCAAGAGTGCATTAAAATTAGCAATAGAGATCTTTAAACCTGTGTATCTGACCCTAGATTCTCCAAATCAGTAAGTCTAAGATGAAGCCTTGGCATTTGAATCTTTTAAAGCCCTGGATAACTCTGATGCACATCCAGGACTGAAAATCTTCACAAACCAACCGAAGGAAATGTCTTATTTTTCTTACCCACCATATTCTCTGGAAAAAATACAGCCTAGATGGAAAAATGTTACATAAAGTTGGACAATAATACCCATTTATATGCTTGAGAGGTAAGTCATTTTAAGCATTGAACTGGCTGGTCGAGGTAAATTGAAGCCAAATTACCTGACAGAATCTTCTGTGGACTGTCACATCTGTCATACTCTGCCTTCATAGATAGCTGGATGATTCATTACTTTCTATAAAACAGAAAATTCCAGTGTTGTCATTAAATAATGATGATATTCATAATAAGAGAAGACAAGCCCATGCTGATTTGAATTCAAATAATTAAATTATTTGCCTTTCCAGAGACTTAGTCTAAGAATCATAGTCATAAAAAGCCCAGGAACTAAGTGATTTGAATACTTCCTAAATTTATAAAAAAAAGAGTCAACTATACATCTTGGTACATTCCATTTACCAACTCAGGTATTCACGTATTGCTTTACTTACCATGTGCAATAAAAACAGCGACAGAAGTTATCACTAAAGATTATACATTATTTTCTAAGTATATTAAGTGTTGCTAGTGTGATTGATAACACGATAATCAGAGATCTGACTTAATAGAGAACAAGACTGAAAAGAGAAAGCAAGAGGCAAATTCTCAGTAAAACTGGAGTAGCTGGGAAGCTTGACCTGCAACTCTACCACAATTAAGTGTCTTATTATCATTAACCAAGTGACCTTAAGGGGGAATGGTAAATCAATTAGGCCATTTGGTCTGATCCTAAGGGATATTTGAAAATAAGGTGCTTAAAAATCAGATGTTTGATAGCTGATTAGTTTAAAGCTTTGTTTGCTAAAAGAGGACATATTTAAATATCATAACATCCATGAGAAAGAAATTAGTGGTCTCACATCACTTGTCAGTTACTTTTAAAAAAAAATGCCAGTGTATATCAGTTTTGTTCTAATTTTTAAAAATGAGAACACTACAAATAACCTGTATTGAGCATTTATGTGTCAGGCACTGTGTTAAACAGTTGACATGCAGGTACATCATTTACTCATCATAATCACATGGCATATGCACTATTATCATCTACATTTTATAGACAGGGAAATTGAGATTTAAACTATTTAAATATCCAAAAATTACAAAATTCTTAAGTGGTAGGACTAAGGTTTAAAACCATGCATGTAGAGCTGGAGGCTGTAAACTGCATTTCATCTATGAATGCAAATCAACGATGATGAATGCACCACAGAGTCTGATTTCAATATATCAAGGGTGAAATGGAAAATACATTAAAAGCAGCCACAAGGCTGGACACAGAGGCTCATGCCTATAATCCTAGCACTTTGGGAGGCCTAGGATGGCAGGTCACGAGGTCAGAAGATGGAGACCATCCTGGCTAACACGGTGAAACCCCTTCTCTACTAAAAATACAAAAAATTAGCTGGACGTCAGGGCATGTGCCTGCTGTCCCAGCTACTTGGGAGGCTGAGGAAGAATTGCTTGAACCTGGGAGGCAGAGGCTGCAGTGAGCCAAGATTGTGCTGCTGAACTCCAGCCTGGGCAACAGAGCCAGACTCCCTCAAAAAAAAAAAAAAAGAACAAAACCGACAAAACAGCCACAAATAAGGCAGAGGAAATTGTTATCTTTATAAATTAAAAAATCCATTCCCAAGCACAATAAAGCAAACATCCAAGCTACTACTGTTTTTATGCCATAACACTAGTCAACGTGTTGGTAGATTCAATTGTATGCAATATATTTTTCATAACATAGCCAACTTGGATGTGTTTATTGTGACAATATTTTTCACGCATACATTTAAAGAGTAAGAAGTTAAATTGGACTAAATTACAATGTCCATGATAAATGTAGAATGCCTATTGTGGTGGTTTTAAAACATGCCTCATATTCTTTCACATTTCTCCCTTCAAAAGATGAAGACTAATTGCTCTACCCTTGAATATATGCTTGACTTAGTGACTGACTTCCATCAAACTAAATGAAATCAGCAAATTAACAAATAAAAATGGCAAAAGTGACAGTGTATTTCTCCTAGTCCACGTTATTGTCTTAGTTCAGGCTGCCAAAAACAATTACCATAGACTTGGTGGCTTAAACAACAGACACTTATTCCTCACAGTTCTGGAGGCTGGAAGTCCTAGATCAGGGTGTTGCGTGGTCAGGTTCTGGTGAGGACTCTTTACCAGGTTGCAGACAGCTGACATCTTGTATCATCACATGGTAAAGAGTGAGGGGTACTAGCACATTTTATCTTCTTATAAGGACACTAAATCCTCATGACCTAATTACCGAACAAAGTCCCTACCTCCTAATACTATCCCGTCAAAGGTTAGGGCACCGATATAAGAATTTGAAAGAGGTAAAACTTGAATGACGTTGGCCAGGCACTGTGGATCATGCCTGTAATCTCAGCAGTTTGGGAGGCTGAGGCGGGCGGATCACAAGGTCAGGAAACTGAGAACATCCTGGCCAACACGGTGAAATCGGTCTCTAATAAAAATACAAACATTAGCTGGGCATGATGGTGTGAGCCTGTAGTCCCAGGTACTCAGGATGCTGAGGCAGGAGAATCGCTTAAAACTGGAAGTCGGAGGTTGCAGTGAGCTGAGATCATGCCATTGCACTCCAGCCTGGTGTTACTAGCCATCCTAAAAGGTATTGAAGGCTCTCTTCCTCGCTCTGGCTCTCTGTCTCTTACTCTTTCTCTTTCTTTCTTAATCATCATTCTTTTTGGAAGCCAACCACCATGTCACAAAAAACCTCAAGCAAGTCTACGGAGAGGGACAGTTGACAAAGAACTGAGGCCTCCTGCTAATAGCTAGCACAAATTAACCAGGCATGTTAGCAACCAACCCAATCTGGAAGGGAATTCATCAGCAGCAGTTATGAAGGTGAATGCAGACTTAGTTTACACCATACTGCAATTTGATGAAAAACTTTTAGCCAGTAACATCTAGTTAAGTTGCTCCCAAGTCCCTAACTGAAACTGTATAAAATGTTTACTGATTTTAGCTGCTAAGTTTCAGATTAATTTGTTATGAAGCAACCTAAGCCACCAATAACTAGTATAACCACCTAACCAGGGGAGCATAATATTACAGCTGGAGACAGCTATTGCCTCTCTTTGTGCATGTCAACATTCCTTTTTGTGTCTCAGTTCTCTCACCTGTAAAATGAAGAAATACATTTGCCCCCTGTAGCTGTGAGGATTCAGTGCCATAATTCACAAGTATTCATTACAGAAGTACCCAGCAGACTAAGCCATAAATAAATGTTACCTGTTGTTATTATTATTATTATATAACATTTCTCTTTTGTCCTTGGAGTTTTAGTGGTACTGTGACATCATGGAAGAAGAAAAAGTTGAACTACCTGCCTACGAGTCTTTGCTGTACTTCTTGTTTTCATCTCCTTTTTAAATCTCCACAATTCTCATTTCCCTCATCTTCACAGAAGAGATGGTGAGAGAATGTTAAATAATATCATTTATTTTATTTCTTGTTACTTCTTAAAACTTTTCTCATTTGATCTGCATAGCCTTGGCATCCATGAAAATTTCAGCACAGCAGAAAAATACAGAACAAGTTTAAGAGTGTCAATAACCTAAGCTCTAGGAAGTATCAAGGATATAACAAATTTAAGAAGTAAAAGTAAAGTTTTCTACTTCCATTAAGAGAAAAAGCAGTAAGAGATCAGATTCTGGTGTGTCCCTACGAAAGATGCCTGCACATAGCCTAGCCACACTCCTCATCTTAGACTAAGGCTCCAGACTGAAGCAAAACAATAATTTCAAATAGCTGTACAGAACTGCATATTATAGAGAAACTATGTCACTGCCCAGTAGATCCTGGAGAGGTAGGAAGACCCCAGAATATCCCTGCACACTAGACATGACACAGAAGCAATGGCTGCAGGGTGGGTTTAGGACAATGGGCCTCTGACAAGCTCACAATTTCCACTGCCTGCCAGAATAACTCAGGAAGAAAAGAAACCTAGAATTGGGATTCAGCAGACCCTATGAGGACTGTTAGCCAAATTTAAGACACTAAACAGCAATGGCCTGAAAAAACCCACAAAGACCAAGGACCCAATGAGATATACAACTCAACAAATACTAAGCACCAAAGGGTGCTCCAGTCTCATTGCATTGAGCGAGTTATTCGAAGTCCCTTTGTAATTATAATAAACTTCAAAGAAAGGATGACAATTTGCACTGAGAGATTATTTCCATTATACAGTAAAAGGAGGCTTGGAGTAGGTTGTAAAAAGTGAAGTCATAAAGGTAAAGTGAAGTTAAGTCACCTCTGCCTTGGTGACTGAGATTTATGCCATTACAGAGTATATGACATGAAAAAATGTTCAATGTTCATTTAAATTTTCCTATTCCCTACACGTCACTTAGTCAATATCCACAAAATGACTCACTGGAAATCTGACTGGGATTGCTTGGAATCTATGATCAACTTGAGAAGAAACAACATTCTGACAAGATTGAGTCTTCCTATCCATGAACATGGAATATGTCTCTATTTAGTTCTTCTTTGATATCTTTTGTTAGCTTTGTAGTTTTCCTCATATAGATTTGGTACATATTTCCTGAGAAATATGACTTCTAACATGCTGAAACAGAACTAGAAGTCTTCCAAAAGGAAGTCTTTTGTATGCACAGTATTAAATAGCTTTTTCTCTTAATACTACTGCAACTTTATATTGTCTTTCTTCATAGTAAAGTCTCAGGTTTCTTGGAGGGAGTAGGAACAACAGTTTTTTGAAAGATGGAGGATTATTGTAGAATGCCAGAAACCAGATTTTATATTTTATTTGTCCCCAAAAGGCCTATCGTGGTACCAGATTCTACCACTTATTGTAAAATTGAAGCCAAGTTAGTAACCTCTGAGTTTCAGTCATTTCTCTTTTAAAGTGAGAGCAATGACTTACTTCTTGTGAAAATTCAATGACATTTTATATATATATATAAATACACACACATATACATATATATAATTATATATGTAACATATATACATATATGTATATGTACACGTATATACATTATATATATACATCTGTATATATATGTGTGTATACACACATATAATTATAATACACACATATAATTATATATGTATATATATACACATATAATTATATGTGTATATATATAATTAAATAACTAAATTATTGTAGTTATATTTATATATTTTTTATTATATGTAATTATAATGTATATAATGCATAATTATATATGTATATATGTGTGTATATATACATATATATATGCTGTCAAATTTAGTTACATTATTAATGGAATTTATTTTTAAACCAACAAAGAGCACTGGATTGTCAAATGAGACACACATGAATTAGAAGTTTTCCCCAGAATCAAGAGGCAAAGATGAAGTGGGGGAAGCTCTGGAATTTCCCTCCAGGCTCCACAAGATCTTCCATCACTATTTGACAAACTTTCTGAACCAGAGTAATAGATGAGGTCCCAGAGAGTGAAGTTTCACCAATCCATAGATTCTATGTTTGCTTACCATAGGTAATCTAAAACAAGGACACCCCACTTTAAGCATTCTATAGATAAGGACATTCCTGCTAGCAATATCAGGTGAGAGTTATCAATCAGCCCAGTATTGAAGGGAGTCACCTGCCTTCTTCCACAGGGAGGCAGTAAATTATTCTCATGTTCTGGTAACAATTATTGGGAGAAAAGTAGATTGCAAGCCACTAATTTTAACCCTTTCTATTTTGTACTATCCTGTTCAATCATTATTAAATTGCAAATGATCTTCAAATAGAAACTCCCCTGGCCATTTGCCCTAAATTAATTCTTCTTTATATCTTGAGACCTTTTCTTTATTCTTTACAAATAGTTCCACATTTTTCCCTTTAAAATATGTTTAGAAAAATATTTATAACAATATCTCTCTCTCTTTCTCTCTCTCTCTCTCTCACACACACACACACACACACACACACACACAATGATTGCTTTTAATCAGAGCTGCTGATATAAGCTATTGTATTAGTCAATATTCATTCTTCTGTTGTGTTATACACAAAGTTGATTTTGGAGCATAAAAATGGAAAACTACTGATTTATAAAAGTATATACTTACTACTCACTCAGAATGACAGAATGAAAGGGGAAGAAAACTACAGAGGAACTGATGGGAGAGAGGAACTCTGAAACTTTGTTTTACAACCTTAGAAGTCTGATTTTCTAAAAATCTGCTAAAGTGGAGAGATTTGTTCACTTTACTCAGCTCAAGTCTCTGTTCCCCTTGGTGGTTGAGAGGCTCAAATGGTCCTTTAGTCTTGATGTAATGATACCAGAGAAGTGCCTGTATTGGAAATGAGTATATTTCCACCCGGTGCTTGTATTGGAAATGAGTATATTTCCACCCAAGGACTTTTTAAAGTACCTTTTAAAAATACTTTTTAAAGTACTTTAAAAAATGTTTTAATGAATTTTCATTAAAGTCTTGTTTGTCCTTGGAACATTCTTTTTTAAATAAAGTGCGCTAATTTCTCCTCCCTAAATGAAGTCACCCAATTATGTAGTTAAGTATGTGTTTTTTAAAAATCCTGGGTACAGAACATTATTATGAATCATCTTTGCTTCTTTTCTGTCCTCGGGCACTGAAAATAAAAACGAGATAATTCTCACTGGTTCACAGACATCTTTAGCAACATATTGTCAAATATGATGGCAAAGAAAGTGGTCAGATATCCATAGAGTTCACAAATAACAGGCATTTCCCAAACATACTGTAACACAAAACTACAAGCATCAAGAGTACTGGCTGGGTGCGATGGCTCACACCTGTAATCCTGGCACTTTGGGAGGCAAGCAGGCAGATCACAAGGTCAGGAGTTCAAGACCAGCTTGATCAACAGGGTGAAACCCTGGCTCTACTAAGACTACAAAAATTAGCCACTCGTGGTGGTGCATACCTGTAATCCTGGCTACTTAGGAGGCTGAGGCAAGAGAATTGCTTGAACCCAGGAGGCGGAGGTTGCAGTGAGCCGAGATAGCGCCACTGCACTCCAGTCTGGACAACTGAGTGAGACTCTGTATCAAAAAAAAAAAAAAAAAGAAAAAAGTACTGTACCACATCTGGAATATTTTCACACACACACACAAAATGTGATTTGCCTTTGTGGTTATGACTTTTACCCAGGATAAAAATTAGGGTCAAAATTATCAATCAACTCTGCTATTAAGACGACAAAGTGTCCTAACAAAAATCAGTATTAACTCCAAGAAAAAGAATATGCTTACAGAATTCTCTTAATAATTTGGCATTTATTTTCATCTTCTGTTCTATTTCATCTCCTCTCTGCCTCCATTTTATATGATTTATTTCTAGGAACATGATGATACACTTTAGAATTTCCTTTCTTTGTTTTTTACAATTGATTCTTAAATATGAGAACCAGGTTGAAGCACATGCTGAACATCTGTACAAATTCTTGCACTCCAACATGGTTGTGCTTCTTTTGCCTTTAGCAAGGTGCATACTTCGGTATTTTTAGGTCCCATGACTAGATAGACAGAAAAATTGGATATGGAACTAGTTACCTACAAATACATCCTAAGGGTTCTATATCAGTCTTAACTATATGACATATGCTAAAGAAAACTGTTTAAGAAATCTTTGTTATGTTATCAAATTATCTTTCACTGCAAGACCAGATAAAAATTATATTTATTAAACATTTATTTAGTTGTATAATTTGAATGAAAGTTTAGAAGAATAGAGAATAAAAGCAAGCAATAGTATGGGGATAATAAATAAGAAAACAAAAAGTTTTGTAGAAAAACCTAAAGGAGAAAGGGTAGCAGTACAAACAAGTAAGAGAAAAATGATTTTCTAGGAAATATATAACAAATTTAAGAGACTATATATGCTATCATTGTACAGAACTTTTAAAAACCTGACTGTTGGCCGGGCACAGTGGCTCACGCCTAAATCCCAGCACTTTAGGAAGCTGAGGTGGGTGGATCACAGGGTCAGGAGTTTGAGACCAGACCAGCCAAGATGGTGGAACCCCATCTCTAGTAAAAATACAAAAATCAGCCGGGCACGGTGGTGGGTGCCTGTAATCCCAGCTACTCAGGAGACTGAAGCAGAAGCATCACTTAAACCCAGGAGACGGAGATTGAAGTTAGCAGAAATCGCACAACTGCACTCTAGCCTGGGAGACAGAAAAAGACTCTCATCTCAAAACAAACAAGCAAACAAACCCTTCCCCAAAACAACAACAACAACAAAAAACCTGTCTGTTGACAGGATACATTATCTTGTCCAACAGTTTTTACTGGACTGCTTTATTCTGTCTAATATACCAGTAATGTGTCATAATGGAAGACAAAAAGAAAAATACAGCTTCAGTATTGATAGACCAAGTTTTGATTTTTACTGATTTATTAGTATACTTTTCCATGTACTGTTTCATTGCAGATCAGGCAAATTTCTTCCTAAATCTAAATTGTGGGTCCTTTTAGCTAGTAAATTTGTATTAAATGAACAAATGCATTAAATATAGTATATATTTAACATATAATGGATGGTTTAATTTAGGTAAAGGAAGCCTATTTCTATCGTATATGTGTGTGTGTTTTTTTTCTTTTGAATACCTATTAGTATTTAGAAATGCAATTATTGTGGTAATGTACTGAAACTTTTTTCCAGAAGTGAGTTTTGACAAGAAATCTGGAAAAGAACAGGTGGTTTTCTTGCTATATCACAGATGCAAGGAAGAAGAGGTGGCAAAGTTAAGTCAGAGTCAGGGGAACAAGCAAACAGATGTGAGAGACAAAACAGCAGCAAAACGTTCACTGGGAGGAAACGAATAGATATGGGAACTAAGAAAGGAAACAGGCCATGAGAGAGAGTAAAAGGATGCCCCACTGGGAGACATCTGCAGAAAACATCTGTAGATACTTCTCTATCACCACCAGGAAGGAGGATCTCTGCCACAGAGGCACACAGAAAAAGACTCACTATCTGTGGTATTTGGTTGAAGGGCACACATAATGCTCAGTGTACCATCCTCGAATTATTCTATGGCAACCCCAGTTCCACCCTCCCAGTGGAATACATGTCAATGCAGCATTTAGTATTGATTGAAACATAAGGACATTCTTTGATTCATCGCTTTCCCTACCACATGCTGCTTTATTCCATCCTCATTTGTCTAAAGAATAAGAATATAAGTATTTTCTTCCAAGGAGAGATAAGAAAAGTATCTGACCCAATCATGATGTAACTGTTTTGCTTTTCTTCTGTACCTGAGGTTAGAAAAATTCTGCCAACACTGCACTGTCAGACTGGCATTGAATGCAACAGTAAGTATGACAAAGGTACTAGCAGCTGGAAGGGTACCTGTCTATAGAGCTAGTACTGATGACTGAGGTTCCCACCCGGAAGACTGAACCAGCTATTAGGACAGCAGCTGTGAAAAGGATCGCCCTCGCTGCTTTACCCCTTGAACATCCTATCTTCCTATAATCCACATTATCCCATTTACAGCTCATTCGGGGCTAATGTAGCAGAGAGAAAACATGGAGATTCAGAGACAGAGTGAGAAATCTTGCAAATAGGAAGAAAATTCTTTATTCTGACAAGTGGAGTTTATAGTTTGGCAAAAGAAAAATAGGGGGGAGATTTCTGCACCCACATTACTGCCCCTGGCCTGTTCAACTCATTCAGTCTGATTAATATTGGCCCTCACAGAATGAGAGCACTTTGTGGGTCAATCACAGGCATGTCTGTGTGGATGGGCTGCTGTCCAGAGCGGGGTTCCCAGGTCAGTGATGAACCAAATGCCACCAATGGTACCACTCCCAGAGCTACTGCTTCTGAAAGCTAGGGGTTTTGAAGCATGGCTGAGAGAAACATGTGGCCACAGAAAACATAATGGAGCCTCTATGAGGACTGAGGAAAAAATGCACATAGACAAGTACCTGATTTTTAGGCTTTTCACTCAATTTCAGAAGTAGGCATTATTTTGACAATGACTTGCTGGGCAGTGCTAGGAAGTGACTAAACTTTCTATGCTACTCAGTTTTTCAATTGACAAAGTTAATAAAAGCAATTTGATATATAATAGTGTTCCATTATAAGCAGGCATCCTTGAAACCATTCACTTTATTTAAGAGATCAAATAGATTAGCTTCCTATTGACAGCTTCACAGAAAGTATCTGTGAAGGACAACAATCACATACCTAGGACATTCATAAAACCAAAGTTTAGAGTCAGTTGGCATTTGAGAAGTCTTTTTCTCTTCCCTTGCTCTGGCCCTCAAATTAGGAAAGATCAAGGATGTCAACCCTCCAGACAAGCAAAATAATCTAATTCTTCTTTATATAAATAGTCAACAACAGTCACCAAGGGGAATTTACTGTGACCAAGACTCAAGTCAAGATTTGAGACCAATAGAAAAGAAAAACCAAAATACTGCCCCATAAGCAACCCAGCCACATTCTTCCTCCACTCTAACCACCTTGGGCTCAGCACTTAAGTATCTGAGGAATATAAGAAAGGAGAAATATTTCTAAAAAGAGGAAGGAAAAGCAAGCTCAATATACAGTTTGTGGAACACGAACCTTCACCCTTGCTTCTTTTTTCCCCATCCGTAATCACAAACCACTTCACTCATAAGAACAAAATCATTCATGGTATTTCTTATGAACATCTCCCCATCCAAACTATCATCTTCTGGCCGGACACAGTGGCTCATGCCTTTAATCCCAGCACTTTGGAAGGCCAAGGTGGCTGGATCATTTGAGGTCAGGAGTTCAAGACCAGCCTGGACAACATGATAAAATCCCACCTCTACTAGAAATATAAAAATTAGCCGAGTGTGGTGCAGGTGCCTGTATTCCCACCTACTTGAGAGGCTGAGGCAGGGGAATCACTTGAACCCAGGAAGTGGTGGCTGTAGTGAGCCAGGATTGTGCCACTGCACCTGTACTCACTCCAGCCTGGGTGACAGAGCAAGACTTCATCTAAAAAAAAAGAAGCTATCATTTTACCCTCACATACCTTTTAATGAAATATCATGCAGACACAGTGGATGCTTCATAAATATTCTGAGCATAAGACCAATGGTTTTAATGCAGTGATTACTCTTGGAAATGAATACAATTTTTCCATATTTTGGTGTTATACAATTTGGCAGAAGAACAGATGGAGAGAAGTATAACCCTTGCAATGTACTGAGACATAGCAACTTGAATTTGTACTTGTATTTATTCATGCATGAGACTTTTTTCTCTTCTCCAAAACTTATTACATATTCCTGTACAAATAATTTTATACAGAGATTTCACTTGTATGTAGATTTATGTAACTGATGTAAGTTCTATCACCTTCATGAGACGGTAAATTTCTTTCGAGCAATGACTTGTATTGTCTTGTACTTTCAACTCACAATAAATGCTGATTGACCAAGACATACATATTTTAGGGCCAGTCTGTTAAAGTATTATAGTTCACCTCTTGCCATCGCTAGTTTTATACTCCTGTTTTCAGTCTTTTGTTTGTTTGCTTTTGTTAATATGAACCATCTGTGCCTCTCATTCTGTGTTTTTAAATAAGCTGCCTAATTATAGGGTTTAAAATTTTTATATTTTACCCTCAAGCCTGCTGTTGAACATTTTTGTCAAAATTGAATGCCTGCCCTTTCAAAGGTCATTTCTGAGGTTTAAACCTATTGGTTTGTGTTATTACAACAAATCTCACCACAGAATGTTTGGTGTCATACAATAACCACCCATTCACTGCTGTGTGCAGTGAATACAAAAGTCAAAAGCCAGTACTTCCTCTTAGTGATGAAGATCAGCTTTCAAACATATACACCTTTTGTGGTTTGCCTTTTCACATTTTTCAAGCAGCTAGTAAGATAATACTCTAAAAAAAGTTGATGAAGGCAACCCTTTTTAAGTTACATTTTGAAAGGTAGTATTATTATATAGGAAGTGTGATAACACTGGCAAATTTCATTAATATAGTCAATAGATTATTTCTCTAGCCATAATTTTCCTTGGCTTCATAGATTTAACAGCTAAATGATCTTTTATTTTTATT